CCGCGCCTTTAAAGCGGGCAGCGGCCGGAGCTGGCGCAGCCCAGCCGAGGTCTGAGCCCGAGACGGGGCGGGCGTGCGTTTGTTTATGTTTCGCTCGGGCCCGCTCAAGTGCTTCCCGCGGCGTCGCCGCCAAAGTCTGTGGCGCCTTCGGCTCTTCTACGGGTCCCTGGCCCTGCCGCCTCCGCGCTCCCCTGCTACCCCACTCCCAGCGGAAGAGACCGAACTGGCAGCTCCTTTCTCCCCTCTTCGCCCGCTGGCCGCGAGGGCGGACGTGGGTCCGAGTGCAGACGAGCCCTTGTCACTTCCAGAAAAAAGAAAAGACGGGAAGGGGGACAGGCAGCTCCGCGGGTGTTCGCAAACGGTCGAGCCGTGCAAGAACGGCCACTTTGGGATTTTGTGCGGTTTATTTTCTCACAGACGTTGTGCCCTCCACCCCCTTCCCAGTAAAGGACAAGGGGAGGGGACAAGTAGGAACATAAATCTTCCAACAGGTCGGGAATCACCAAGTCTCCCGGGCCGCCAGAAAACCCGGACTAGCACGTTCATCACCTCCTTGCTCCCGCTGCTGCCATCTTGACAGTTTTCCCCCCTTCACTCAAGTCCTTTAAAAACACTAGCGGGAGAGAAGAAGGACGCGCACACCGAGTCACGGGGAGGAAAAAGGGAAGCGCCTGGCCCAGCTCAGAAGCAGATCCGGAGTCACCGGGAAGGCGACCGCCCCGCTGCACAGCTCTGGCGCCTACCTCGGTTCCTTCCCTTCAGGGACGAGGGGGGAGGACGCACAATCCCGCGCGGGCCCGGGGCACGGCGAGGAGGGGGCGCGCAACCTCAGCGAAAGAGAGGCGCTCCGGCCACCGCCGCAGCCCTCCAGAAGAACCGCCTGTCAGCCTGCGTGCTGCCGCCTTCCACATTCCTCCTCCTCCCTTCCACGAGCAGGGCGGCCGCGGCAGCAGCACAAAGTTATAGACACACGCAGGGTGCCTCAACCTAAGCTGACGGCGGGCGGGTCCCCGCCCAGGGGGAGGGCTGGGCAGAGGGCCCGGGTGTGCTGGTGTCCGTGTGTGTGCATGTGTTTGCGTGCACTCGCGCGCGCGCGCCTGCGCGGCTCGGCTCCGCGGGGCTGCAGGCGTGGGTGTGGGGGAGCGCGCCGCCGGCCGGGACTCGGCGGGCTCCGGCAGCGGTCCCTCCCCTTCTCCTCCTCCCTCCCAAGAGCCTCAACCACGACAAAGCGCGGCACTGGCCAAAGAGAAGGAGAGGGAGCGCAGAGCCTCAAACTCTCCATGAGCATAGTCTCGTAGCACTCGGGGTCCCCGGCAAGCGCGTGTGTCCGCCAGGCTCTGGGCCCGCCCTGGTGTCCGGTTCCCCATTAGAACTGGACACCAAGTAACACCTGAGATAAAATGCTGACCGTAGATAGCAAGGGTTGCCTCGGCGTGGAAATACTGACAAGCCAAGATGTTGGTGCCTTCAGGACTTCGATAACCTGATGCCCTCAGATTTGATCAGGCACCAAGCGGTTTACACTCTTACCCAGGACACTCGACCGCAATCGTGTTTCACTTTTCAGGGATTTGATGGCAGACGAGGAGAGAAGTGTAACTAACTCTGGAAAAAGCAAATTATTCCATTCTTAAACCCAAGAGCAGATTTTGAACAACTGTGAATGGGAAATAATTTTACTCTAATTTGTAAATGACAGCAAACGTCTAATTGCGCATTTTTGACTTTTTAAAGAATGATACTCCTTTAGGTTTAGAAAAAAAATCTTTACAAGCTTTTATCCAATGATCAGTGCCCAAGTCATTCATTTGTGCACTAAGAATACCCTACATGCGACATGCACACCAAAACTCTATCCACTTTTATCAGTATCTTATTTCTTAAATCCTTCCAAGTCACTGGAAGTATCTTTGAGTCTAGAGCGGGCTCAGCAACACCCCGATACACAAAAAGGTCCAACCCAGCGTAGGCATAAGTCCGCCCACCCGGCGGATTCCAGGCTCCGGGCTTTGAGCAAGGCCCGTCACTCAAGTGACGCACGGCTCCGCCCCTGCACCAAGCTAGTTCGACGCGTACAAACAGATGATGTCATTGTATCCAAACGCGCGTGACCCGGGAGCTCGGCGCCCCGTCGCCATTCGCTGCGCTGCTCACTCGTCAAGCCATGCGGCACGCTGACTGGCCGCGGCCACGAGTCTCCAGGCTCAAGACACCCCTCTCCGCCCCCCGCCTCCGCCCCCAGCAAATAATAAACAATCGAGTAAAATTCTAAGGAGGGGAGGGAGGAGAGGAGAAAGCAGAAGCCAATCCTTTGCGCGCCAACAGAGGAAGAGTAAATGGGAAGGGGACGTGAGAAGACAGGGGTGGGGAGGGGAGGGAAGGAGCAGACCTGGGGCGATGGGTTCCGCTGCGATGAGGTAGCGTTGGGGTAGGAAAGTTGGAGAGCACTCTGCGGGGCGCGCCAGGCAATGAAGGGGCGTTAGGGCCCTGGAGCCGCGGAGCTCTGGGCCCGGGGGCGGTGCGCGGCCCGCCGAGGGGGAGGAGCCTGGGACGCGCAGGGGTGGTGCGGGCGGAGCCGGCACACACGTGCGGGAGGAGGGCGGGAGCGCGCGCCCCACAGGCTCGCTCTGGGCGCGCGCCACCGACAACCGCGCGCGCTTGTTTACCAGCGCACGTGGGTGTTATTTTTAAATGGAATGTAGTGCTGGCTGCACAGCAGAGTGGCGGGCGCGTGGGGCCGCCTGCGCTGGCTGGGGGACGCGGCGGGGCCCGCTCAACGGCTTCCCGGGGCGCTGTTCCCGGGACAGCGAGACTGTCCCCACTGCGGGCTTCCAATGCAGTCGGGGGCTCAGACCCGGAAGCCTCACTACGAGTTTCGCGCTCTGCCCAAGCCTCAACGTAGACGAGGTGTTCCCGCCACGGAACACTGCCTTCGTAAGCCCGGGCTCGGCTCCCTCATTCACATTCCGGGGACAAAGCCACCTGCTTCTCTTAGACCTAGAGGCCGTGCCAGGCCAGATTTCACACGTTCACATACTGGCACACAACACCCTGGCTGCGAGGTGGACTCTCATTACCTTGCATGGTTTGTGCCCTTGTTGCAAATGTCCCCCAGTCCATGTGTGCAAGTCTCCTTGGGCTTACAGCTCTGTCCAAGTACAAACGCACTTCTGCTACATCGGGTTGTCTTTGGAAGAGGAACTCTGGAAAGAGGCCTCTGACTGCTTCCTGGGGTTGCTCCTCTGCGTGTGGCTCCTCTCCTCTCATTGTGGGTCTGTCCGCTGAGAAGCCCTGGTTTTGTATTTGGTTTAAAGCTTCGCAAGGCGGACCTTGATTTACAAGACAATTCTCGACTTCAAGTGCCCATGGTGGCGGGGATGGTGGGGGGTGGGGGGTGCGGGGCTAGAGCATATTCCCTGGAGTCTGGTGTTCAGCTTTGCACAAATAACCTGAAGGCCAGATCACCAGGGCTTTGCACCGTAATATCGCATAAAATCCTAAGGTACACGCTGTAAAAGAAATCCACCCTTTTTCTTCTCTAAATCTAAGCAATCTCGTCATTAAAGTGAAGACGTAGAAAGAATGTGTTTACACTGGCTGGGCTCTTAGCCATTAGAGTTTCACTAAAACCATGTTGAGTGCATTTTCAGAATGTATATCCCAAGGGCATTCCAAGAAAAATGGAAGAGCTAAAGATTCAGTAGATTAACTGAGCTCATTGTGACCCTCTTGGTGAAAAATGGGGGGCGGGGACATGGAACATCCATTTTTTTTCAAGGAGCTGACAGATTTAGTTGAGAATATGATACCGTTTTTAAAAGTTCAGTATTTCTGGAGTTTAAAAACAGTGCAAGACAAATACAAGAGGTCATACATGTAGTATTTGGGTAAGTTTCAAATGAATTGAGGATCAAAACTTCAAATGGCAGTGACTATAAACATTCACCTTGGTAAATGTGCATCTTACTCAAAGAATTTACCCTTGTAATTTGTCCCTATGGCAAACTTTTGAAAACTCAGAGGTTGAATCTCAGTGAGTGTTCTTTAACCTTGAAATTGCTTTGACCTTTAAAGCCGCCTTGGTCTTTTTCCATTTCTTCCCCCCACCTTTTTTCTTAACTCTTTAATACAGGAAAGTCGAGTGAGTTTGTGGTTGTTGATCAAGAAGTAATGCCATCATGACCTTTGAGGTAGAATTTTTGGTCAAAACTTTCCCCACTTCTTGTTATACCCCATTTATTTCTACAAATGATTTAAGGTGGTAATTGTCCACTCCATTTGTAAATTCAGCCACTAGAGGAACAAAAAATATTTCACCTGAACGAGCAGAGTAGATTCACCATTTCAAACATGCAATTCTAAGGGTAGATGCTAGGGCTCTGCCTCTGAGGGGGCCACCATTCAGCAGTCGTGTTCCCGCCCAGTCCTTCTTGTATCAAGGTGATACTCCTTGTGATCCCAGAGCATACTGGCTAGGGACTGAGCAAGATGCCTGTCAGCAAAGTGCTCATTTTCCTCTTGGGTCGGCTGCTTCTACATCTGTCTCAACAATGAAGACAGGAAACACAAATACAATATAAGCCTCCAAACAAATATGTGACTCAGCTGTAAAGAAAGGATCCCTAATATTCAGGTCTGTAGCTGCTCCCCTTCCTTTGTCTGACACCCTCATTAGTCCCTTCCGCTGACTCCCCACTCCTCAGCAAACTACTTATGTGGAAAACATTTACCGAACACTATATACCAAAGAGCTTGAGCTTTGGTTTGTCTTTCAGGGCATCATTCTAGACACCACCCTCTCTGAGAGTTTCTGGGGTTCCTGTCTTCTCTCTTCCTCTTTGCCACCTTCAGGTGTGACATACCCTGGCAGAGCCTTGTGGGAGAGGAAGAAATTTTTCTCTACCCTTCTAGGTTCTCTCAACTGGTCTAATAATGAAATCTATATGAGACTGATTAACAAGAGAAAATAACCAAATTTAATTACATACATATGTATGGGAACCCCACATACATGAGAAATTCAGAGACAGAAAGGGAAAATGAAGTTTATATGGTAGCCTGAGCTAAAGGATGAGGTAAGTCACCCGGGGCTTCAGAGGGAGGGAAGGTCATTCACAGGACAATAAGAAGAGCAGATATTCAGTAACTAAAAGTTTGCCCTACCCTATAGAAAGGTCATAAAAGTTTATCTCTGGTAATAATTCCCATTATAGGCAAAGCCCTCTATTTAAATTTTTCTAGGTAGTTAAAGAAGGGGCAAAAGTTTCTCATAAGCTTTTAGTGTCTCTGTTGCCTTCAGCTCAAAATAATTCACATACCAAAGTAGCTTGGGGAAGCCTATTCTAAACCTCTTCAGCTTCCCCCATGTCATTACAGTGCCTATCCTATGGTTCATTTGGAGGGCAACTATGTGTGTTTATACGGAGAAAAAGTGGGGGATCCAAAAGAATTTGAAGACTTACCTGAGAGGGAATCTCATAAATGAGAAATTGGGAAAGAATCTATTTTAGTTTTATGAAATGATGATATCTAACTTTTATTTGTCCCTGAACTAAGCACTTTATTTGCAGTGTTTAAGTCTCAAGAAGACGTTATGAAGTAGGTACTGTTGTAAGAACACCCAAACTTGTAGAGAATTTTTATGAGTTTATTTGAGCCAGATTGATGACATACACCGGGGAGCAGGATCTCAAATGCTCTGGAGAGTAAGAGTTTTTTCAGTTTCTTTTATGCATTTGAAATTAAGAAGGGAATGTAAGGAAAATTACCTGGAGGTGCGAGAAAGCAAGGCGGGGATTGAATTACAGGATAGTTATAAGATTATGTACCCTCCTGAGGGGGGGTTACGGTTAATTTCAAAGGTGCGTTAACCTAGATGCACAGAAACAATGGACAGGGCTTGCTTAAGGCAAAAATAAACCTTCTACTAAAGAAGTTATATGCCTGGGGTGTGACTATACACAATGACCTGCTCGGTTAGGAATTTATAATTAGATCACCATGTGAGATTACTTTCCATAGAACCCTTTTTTTTTCATCCAAAATACAGCAGTGCTAAACGGCATAGAGGTTAAGAATTCAGGCTCTCAGGTTAAGTCTGATCTCCTTACCAGCTGTGTGACCTTGAGCTGTTATTTAACCATTGAGCTTCAGTTCCTCATTCATAAAATGAGAATAATACCTTCTAGGATTGTTGAAAGGATTGGGTTAAGTGATATTATGAATCGAAAACATTTAGAATTAGAATACTAGGGGAGGTACTTTTTAAAATAATGATGCCCAGGCTCCATCTTAGATCAACTGAATTAGAATCTTTAGGGGTAGAGTTTGGCATCAATATTCTTTTAAATGTTTTCCAGATAAATCTAATGAAGTAAAGATTGAGAACAGTGAGCTAAAGCTCTCTCTTCTGTACTCTCCAGTATTTGCACTCAGCTATGACTGACTTCTGCTTAAGAATGATGATAGAGCCATAAAAACAACAAAAACAACAACAACAACAAAACTACACACAAAGAAGCATATCCCGTACATATAACATCTCACTTTATCTATAAAACAACCTAACCCAGCAGGAACCATTCTTTTGATTTTACGGGGCTTTTCCCCAGGTCACACAGTGAATGGGTAGACCCAGGATTTGAAATGACGGCTGTCTGAATCCATGGCTTGTGCTCCTCCCCCAACCTTGCACTGTCTCTCCAATAGTATTTCTTTATGTGGGCCATTTGGCCTAGAGAAATGGAGCTGGAACCACACAAGCACACATCACCCCAAGCACTAATTCAACCAATCCAAAGCTGGTGGTTGGCCAAATCCTCCCCATCAGGTTGTTTTTTTGGCTCTCTCTCTAAAGCTTTTAAAGTTTTCGAGTCATTTGCCAAGATTTGAAAAGGAGATTTCATCTAAAAACCAGATTTCTAACTCTTCTTGAAAAATTAGAAGATATGGTAACACTGGCATCATAACTATATGGCAACGATTAGCTGCTATGTGCTCTCCAGTTCACCTCCTTTTCCTCAGGCCCTCTTCCCTCATTTATGTATCCTGACCGATCTCTAGGCATTTGATTTAGCCACCCGAACTTGTGTTTCCTACCTTTACAGTGGCATGCTAGAGTTGGCTCTTTCAGGTTCACGAAAAGTAACTGTGCACATCTCTTTCCAGCATTTTGTTCAGTAAATCACATTGGTAGCTTGATATGGACCATTGTGAGAGTATTTACTCCACAGAAATTGATAAATACGAACAATCGAGTCTTTTTTTTTTCCCCCTAAGAGTCAGTAGGGCCAGCACATCATTGCCCCTACTCCACTCAGCCATTGTATGGTGTTCTGAGGATGAAGATTTGTTCTGAACAGAAAGCGAATGGAACAGAAGCACTTGAGAAGCTGTAACTCAACTCTGCTTAGCAATTGGTTATACATTATCTAACCTTGTTTTTAAAGTACTTCCATTTAATGCAGTGGAGTAGATACCCAGAACAAACCTCTTGATGAAAAGTAAAGCTGGATAAG